GAAGGGTGTCTCAGGGTTCCTGCAGGCTCAGTAAGTCTGGTCTTCTTTGTAAATTTGAGTTTTTGTAGCTGGGCACCATCTAGTTCTCCTGACCTTGGGGTTGTTTCTATCTTTTTGCTCTTGTGGATAATGCTGCAATGCCAACATTTTTGAAGCAATGGACTTGGCTTTACCTTAGAGGGCCTGTCATGCTGAATTATATGTACCCCACAGACTTAAGAAAGAACTGCAGCAGCCCTCCCAGAAAGGTCTTACACAATCTGCAGCCCACAGGTGGCTGTGGTAGCAACTTCATGGATGGGTATGAAAACTTCGGTTTGACATTTGGGCCAAAAACTTTAAAAGTTCTTCTAGGTTATCTAAATCTCAGAGGAGGGTAAGCATCTGCTGCCTAAAAGAAGACAGACAGCCCATTTTTGAAAATACATGGCTGAATTTGGAAGTGCAGGCCAAGGCCACCCAGCCAATTGTAAAGCAGATGAAATTCCACTGGTGTATTGTGGTAAGCACATAGTTGGAAGGCTAAGTGCAGGGCAGGGCACAGTGGTCAGAGAAAATATGTGATTTCTAAATGACCACGCAGCACATTTGGGAAACTATTCAAGGGGCTGCTTTTTTTTAGCAGGGGGGAGAGGGTGTGGGTCTGGGGTTGGTAATTGGCACCCATTGACTGAATCAGTCTTCTCGTGCCAACATGTGGCTCAGATACTGTATCTATGGGAAAATGTTCATGGAAAGGCTCCAGCTCTTACGCCATGGCTTGAGGAACTGTCAGCAGAAGCCATAGGAATTGGCCACATTAAAGACCACCCAGCATTCTGGACAGTCTGTCCCCTATGGATTTGCAAAGATAATTTTCCAAACCAAATAAGTGTGTGAGTTACTGAGTGAGAACATGCTATCAGATATAAGACAGAAAGCAAGGGAGAGGGCCGCTTGTGGAGGCTTTCCAGCTAAACACTGCAGTGGAAGTGTGCGCAGCCATGCTCTGGGCACATCTTGCCATTCTGGAGACAGTTCTGTGGGGTTTCACAGAGGATGTGAGAGGCGTCACCATCCTATTTCCCATTAATTCCATTCCTGTAGCTGAAAAAGCAAAACTGGAAGGAAATAACATTCTAGAACACTATTCTAATTTGCAATGTATTCCTAAATAAATCAGAAATGGAGCTTGATACATGAAAGAGAATATTTTCATTAAAAATAAATATCTCAATGAAATTAAAACCACAATGAGATGGAGATGGAAGAAAGTGTATGATTTGTTGAAGGCAAAATGATGATCTGCTGTCAACCTTCACTCAATTCAGAATAAACCATTTTAAAATAAACAAACAAAACCCACAATAGAATACCATTTCACTTCTATTAGGAAGAATAAGGTAAAAACAAAACAAAAGAGAAAACAAATATTGGTCAGGATGTGGAGAAACTGGAACCCTTATTCATTACTGTGGGAATGTAAAATGGCACAGATTCTGTGGGTGGTTTCTCAAAACATAGAACTATCATTGTTGTTAAGTGCCTTTAAGTTGGTTCTAACTCATAGCAACCCTATACAGCTTTTCCAAGGAGTGGCTGGGGGATCTGAACCACTAACCTTGCAGTTCATATCAACTTTGCGGTTCAATGCTTATTTTACTGTGCCACCCCAGAATTATCACATGGCCCAGCAATTCTCTCAGTTCTTGCTAAAATCACTTAAGTAAAAAAATTGAAGGAAATAGATAATATTAATAAAATATCTGTACAATAGCATAAGTTTTAAAAATTATACTATTTAACCTAAGTAGTAAATACCATTTAAAAATCATCTTAACTCTGTATCTCAAATTCAGAAACATGAAAGCTTTAAATCTTACTGTCTGAGACTGAGTAAAACCTAGGAATTACTCTAATTGGGCATACTTGCTAAGAAGAAAGAGGACAATATTTCAAAACATTCTAGAAAAAGTAACTTCTCATGTAAAACCTTATTGCCACAATAGTAGCAGCAGCAGTAGTAACAGTAACAGCAATAGCAGTACTGGTAGTAGTAGCAGCAGTAGCAATAGTAGTAATAGTAGCAGTAGCAATATTAGCAGTAGTAGTAATAGTAGCAGTAGCAATAGTAGCAGTAGTAGTAATAGTAGCAGTAGCAATAGTAGCAGTAGTAGTAGTAGTAGCAGCAGCAGCAGCAGCAGCAGTAATAGTAATAATAGTAGCAGTAGTAGTAGAAGAAGACCATGCAGCAATGAAGTAGGGTCAAAAGAACCCTTGGCAGGGTAAGAGGTCTAAGATCCTTTTCAGAGGGATCTGTGAGGTCAAAACTATTTTCATAATACTAAGATGTTCATCTACTTTTTTCTCCTCTTCAATTTCTCAGAAGTGTACAGTGGAGTTTTCCAGAGGCATTGTGGCACAGTAGGATAAGTACTGGACTGCTAACCACAAGGTTGGTGGTTCAAACTCTCCAGTTGCTGCTTGGAAATGCTACACAAGTACTACGAATCAGCACTTACCAACAACAACATTATGCCATAATTCTGACAAGTTTTGGAACATATATTTGTATTCTGTGATTACAAGAATTTTCTAAGGTAGTATTTCTTAAGATACCATCAGTTTGTCATACTGTGGTGGCTGGGAGCTATGCCACCACTATTTTGAATACCTACAGGGTACACTCATGGTGGAACAAGTTTCAGCTGAGTATCCAAACTATGACAGATTAAGAAGGAGGAAAGGTGGACTACTTCTGAATGTTTAGCCAATGAAAACTTTATGAATGGCAGTGAAACACTGTCAGATAGCACCAGAATACTGAATACTGATACATGATGAATAGTACCAGAATACTGTCAGATAGTGCTAAAGCAAATGGAAGAAATGAGGAAGTAAAAGAGTTGAACAGAAAATTTCAAAGGGCAACTCAAGAAGACAAAGTCAAGTATTATATTGAAATATGCAAATACCTGGTGTTAGAAAAGCAAAAAGAAAGAACACACTCAATATTTCTGAAGCAGAAAGAAATGAAGAAATAATTCAAGCCTTGAGTTGAAATACTGGAGGATTCTAGGGGCAAAATATTGAATGATGCAGAAACCATCAAAAGAGAATGGAAGGACTCCCTGCCTTCTTCAGATGGCGGCTGTTTATGCTGGACGTATGGCCAGAGACGGGCAAGGATCACGTGGAACCTCGGCAACCTAAGACAGAGCCATTGCCATGCTGCAATGAGTTTCGATGAC